CAAGATTCAAAGAACAGTGACACTAGTATCTGTTAACCACCCAAGATTCAAAGAACAGTGACACTAGTATCTGTTAACCACCCAAGATTCAAAGAACAGTGCAATTCTATTAAAGTTGAGTCATTTCTTTTCATCACAAATCCCTTTAACTGGAAAAAAAAAACATGGAGTTTCTCAATACTTATGAACCCACAAATAGTGAAGGATGTAAACACAAGTTAGGAATTTGAGGATTAACCTTTCCATAGAGAAATCAGGCAAGTATTATCCAACGTTTCTGTCTTTCACAGTCTTCAGTTTGTGCATGCGCAGTAGCGCTTAAATACACTTCTAACATGTTACTTATGATCAAAGAAAACTACGTGATATTTTGTTTTAAAAAGGGAGGGGGGATAATTTTGGTCACTATACAACAGACTTGAATATAAACTTCTAACTATTATTGGATTTAAAACTGTACCACTGTTCTCTAATACATTAAAGTTTATTAAATTATCTTCATAATTATAACCTCAAGGTAACTAACTTATTCCCAGTAGTGTGATTTACTCAGTAACAATACTTTACACTAGTCTATAACACAATGTCATAGTGGCAATACTTTACACTGGTCTATAAAGTGTAAAGTATTCATTCTTTGACATTGTGTTCTAGACCAGTGTAAAGTATTCATCTTTGACATTGTGTTCTAGACCAGTGTAAAGTATTCATACTTTGACATTGTGTTCTAGACCAGTGTAAAGTATTCACTATGACATTGTGAGTCTAGAACACAATGTCAAAGTATGAATACTTTACACTAGTCTAGAACACAATGTCAAAGTATCAATATTCTACACTAGTCTAACAAAATGTCAAGGTAACAATACTTTACACTGGTCTATAACACAATGTCAAAGAATGAATACTTTACACTGGTCTAGAACACAATGTCAAAGTATCAATATTCTACACTAGTCTAACAAAATGTCAAGGTAACAATACTTTACACTGGTCTATAACACAATGTCAAAGAATGAATACTTTACACTGGTCTAGAACACAATGTCAAAGTATGAATACTTTACACTGGTCTAGAACACAATGTCAAAGTATGAATACTTTACACTGGTCTAGAACACAATGTCAAAGTATCAATACTTTA